TATTTTATTGATAAAAGAATGCTTGTATAATTAATAAATAAATGTTAAACAATAAGGTTGGATTGATCATCTTGTTATTTAAGACAACGAAATTGCTATATTTTATTAAGGAGTTATATGTATGTTTGATTATTGATTTTTTAAATATTCAGGGTAGATATTCTTTAAGGAATCGGGTTTATTTGTTAAGCTAGTTATTAGAGTTTCAGAACAGTCAAGATAAATTAAGGAGATAGGCAATATTGGTAAGCTTGTTATTTTAGTATTATAGCAACGGAGATCCGTTACGGAGTTTGGTAATGTTGGTAAGCTTGTTATTTGAGTAGCAGAGCAATCGAGTATCGTTAAGGAGTTGGGTAATGTCGGTAAGCTTGTTATTAGAGTATTATAGCAATCGAGTTTTGTTAAGAAGTTAGATAATGTTGGTAAGCTAGTTATTGTAGTTTTATAGCAACAGAGCTCCGTTAAAGAATCAGGTAATGTTGGTAATCTTGTTATTTGAGTTTCAGAACAGTCAAGATAAATTAAGGAGTTAGGCAATGTTGGTAAGCTTGTTATTTTAGTATTATAGCAACGGAGATCCTTTAAGGAGTTTGGTAATGTTGGCAAGCTTATAATTTGAGTTTTTGAGCAGTCGAGTTCCGTTAAGGAGTTTGGTAATGATGGTAAGCTTGTTATTTGAGTTGCAGAGCAATCGAGTATCGTTAAGGAGTTAGGTAATGTTGGTAAGATTGTTATTTGAGTTTCATCGCAACAAAGTTCCATTAAGGAGTTTGGTAATGTTGGTAAGCTTGTTATTTGAGTGTTAGAGCAATACAGTTTCGTTAAGGAGTTAGGTAATGTTGGTAAGCTTGTTATTTGAGATTCATAACAGCAAAGATAAGTTAAGGAGTTAGGCAATGTTGGTAAGCTTGTTATTTGAGTTTCATCGCAACGAAGTATCGTTAAGGAATTAGGTAATGTTGGTAAGCTTGTTATTTGAGTTTCAAAACAGCTAAGAAAAGATAAGGAGTTAGGCAATGTTGGTAAGATTGATATTTGAGTTGCACAGCAATTGAGTTCCGTTAAGAATTTAGGCAATGATGGTAATCTTGTTATTTGTGTATCAAAACACCACAGTTTCATTAAGGAGTTAGGCAATGTTGGTAAGCTTGTTATTTGTGTTTCAAAACACCACAGATCCGTTAAGGAGTTAGGTAATGTTGGTAAGCTTGTTATTTGAGTTTCATCGCAACGAAGTATCGTTAAGGAGTTAGGTAATGTTGGTAAGCTTGTTATTTGAGTTTCACGACAATCGAGTTCCGATAAGGAGTTTGGTAAAGTTGGTAAGCTTGTTATTTGAAAATCATGGCAATCAAGTTTTGTCAACTTTCGATATCTTTGCAATCCGCCGGTTTTGTTCAATATTTCATCCTTATTAATATCTGTAATAGTTAAACTTTCAATTTCATCATCATAAATAATTAACGTTAATTCAAGATTATTGATTCTCTTTTCTAATTCATTAATAATTTTTTGCTTTTCTTTGGATATTTCTTCTCGTTCTTTAATCTTTTCTTCTAAATTATTAATATTGGCTTTGGTTTCTTCTCGCTTTCTAACTTTTTCTTCTAAATATTTGAATTGTGAACGGAACCCTTCGTAACTTTGCTCTAGTTCCTTAATTCTCGTTTCCAAGTCTTTTAGATCTTTTTCTAAATTCTTTAAAACCATTTTTTTCCTTTTTTTTTATACGGATAAGCTTTTATTTTATTTTATTTTTTTTGTTGCCATAGAAATTTATCAATTAGAAAACTCAGCCCTCGGTTTAAATTTTTTCCAACAATAATATTTCCCTAATCTGCTCAAATAACTTAAAAGGGATCTAATCGCTTCTTGTCTACCAAATAAAGTTAATTGCTTTCTAAAATTGGATATCTAGAGTTAAATTAGTTAAACCGAAAATCTATACTCTATTGCTGTCAACGGAACTTATTTTTTTATTGAGGTGAGGTAAATTCCACCTTACAATACTTCAAAATAATGAAAATGATGAACTAATACTAAAGATTATATTTGTAAATATGAAATACTTTTTGAAGAAAAAAACATCCATATTAGGAATGTTTATGTTCCGAAGTTAGCTTAACTATTTGTTATATTATTATTTTTTTTTTTAATATATCTTTTTTTTTGAAAAACTTTGGTGATTGAATTAATGTTCAAACGAAAATAATAAATCTTTTGTTATAATTTAAATTTACTATTAGACTTCTAATAAAAAATTATTTATTTCGGCTTTAATATTATCCTCATAATTCGAGTCAAAATCTGAGTTTAACTATAATCAGGTCGAGTCGAATTTGAGTTCTGTAAATATAGACAGGTTCGAGTTCGAATATTCTTTCGACCCTTTTGGAGCACTAGTAATAACCTTAGCCTTCTTATGTTAAAAAAATTACAAGTCAACAGGTATTGAATTATATTGAAATGGCATCCTCATTATTTAGATCTCGTAACGAATGTCAATAAATATCGTTATTATTTTTAATATACAGTTTTAATAAAGTTAGAATCTATAGATTATGTTCTGCCATTTTTTTATTTGCGATGAATTGTTTCTGTCATTATAAATTGTTAATTTGATTAAAAAATTTGGTCGACGACATTATAAGATATCAAATATACACAATAGTATTAAGTTAGTATTATATGAAATTAAGAAACCAATATTGTGAATTAAAAACATTTTATAAACTAAACCATAAATTTTAAATAATTTATCATATGAACGACCTTGATAATAACAAAAAATATGTTGCTTTAGCAGAACTTCAAATAATATTATTATTTAGTATTTTAAGATAATAAATAATGCGCAGTCAGATGTTAAAAGAATTTGTATTATTACAGGATTTGATTGCATTAATTTAAAAGTGTATCCTATGATGACTTTACGAAAATTTTAAATGACGCGAGGATTAGGTTTTCAGATATTATCTTCAAGCGTATTGCAGGCAAATTTGACTGCAAATTTATTTAATAATTAAAATTATGAAATGAAGAAGGGAGAATCTTTTGCAATATACGAATTTGGACGTACGGAACGCTCACCTTTGCAAAGGTATTGGAACCGACCCGGTGATCTCGAAGATCTTACACTTTTTCAGCTCCACCTAAAGTATAATTACTACAAAGGTAGTTGGAAGATGAGAATATCGTGCAGATATGGCCAAGACCATCGCCTTAACGAAACGGTCCTCAATGGAAGGAATTTTGCCGCATAAAAGTTTTACTACATGTTCCTCATCGAGATCTTGATCAATTAACCGAAAATAACACAATTTCATGGTCAGATCTATTTATTCTAAATCTCGAAAAAGATCGAAAACGAACATGATTTACTTGGATCTCCTGTAGAAAATGAGCTTGTTAACGAAGAAACTGATGAAGATCTGGAAGTAATTGAAAGTGAAGATGAAACACGACCAGATTAGATGATTCTAGCGGAAATAGGTCCGAACATAATTGTCGATGGTTCATCTCGTCTAGGATTGTGTAATATTGATCCATGATTGGAATGGTCATATTAGACAAAATTATCCTGATCTCGACCTGATTGACGGTATAAATGCTAAAGATATAGTCGATGATTGTATTGCAGACTACCAAACATTGAAAGAGAAACAGATGATGATATTTAAACGAATTGAATCACATTATTGCAGCACTATTACAGGATGTAATCAAACTGAGCCACTCAGAATTATTATTATGGGTACTGCGGGAACTGGAAAGTCATATTTAATTAATATGATTGATAGACGACTCAAGAATTAGCAAAAAAAAATAATATCGAAAGTTCACCCTTATCAAGCTTGTACCAACTGGATCAACATTCATGGGACAGCAATTCATTTGACTCTCCATTCTGATATCTTGTCTAACCTTGATATAGATGGTGAACGACTAAAGAGCCTACAAACAAAGTTACATGACGTCATTTACGTAATAATCGATGAAAAAAGCATGGTTGGACGCTGAATGCTTTATTTAATTGAAATACGATTACGTGCGACCATAAAGATCAACCATTTGGTGGTCGATCTGTTATTTTAATTGGTGATTTCAGACAACTTCCGCCAGTGATGGATGTTCCGGTGTATGCACAAAACTTTACACACGATCTATTATCAAATGATAGTATTGTAGGATACAGCCAATTTTGGGAGGTTTATCGACTTGACATCATTCAAATACAATCTGGAGATTCGGAGGAACAACGTAACTTCAGAGATATTTTGCTACGGCTACGTGATGGTGAATCGACAGTAGATGATTGGAAAACATTTTCCTCATGATTTATTGGTGCGTCAAACATATAATCTACAGAATATAAAGAATTTTCATACGCCGTACATATCTTACCAGAAAGTGCGATGTTGATGAGGTTAACATAAACAAACTTAAGTCATTAAATTGTCTCGTTGCTAGGATTCGTGCAGTTCATACATGTAAAGATGTATTAAAAGCAGATTCCGATACAGCAAAAGGTCTTGAGGCGCAGATATTATTGTTCGAAGGTTCACGCATTATGCTCCATGCTAATTTTGTGTAAGGGCAGTGTTACTAATTTTTTAATTCTATCAAAATTCGATTACTTTAGTTAAAAAAGACATATTTTCAAATCACGTGATCATGCGATCGATATTTTTATGAACAGTCAAATCAATTAAATTTTATTTCTGTAATCTTCTTCAATTATCCTGCTTGCTCTCCATGCAACCATGGCGGTAGGAGCATTAGTATTACCATTCGGAATAATTGGAAAAATTGAAGCATCGACAACTCGAAGATTTTTGGTTCCATAAACTTCAAGTCGATGATTAACACATCCTCCTTGTGATTCAGGTGCCATTTTAACAGTACCGCATGTATGAAACGATGTATTTGTCTAGTGAATGAAAATATTCATTAATTAGTATTTGAAAATTTCTTTATTATATGTGTTGGATGAAAATTACCTGTTCACGGATATATTGTTCCCAATCTTCATCACTCATTTCTTCTTTCATACTACACCATTTTCCAAATTTATCATAAAATCCAAATTCTTTCATGCCCCATACTGTACTTAACGGAGGTTGTTTAATTATTTCACGTAAAAATTTACAAGAACTAATCATTCTATACATATCATCAGGTTTTTCATAATAATTGAGAAAGATTTTTGGTTGCACAAATGGATTAAAACTAGATAATTCCAAGTAACCGACGCTTGAAGGAAAATTTAAAACTGAGGATAGCGCAATAAATTCTAATTTTTGCACTAGGATAGTATTTAACCCATCCTGAGTGCATACTATAAAATTATTATTAATGAATAAAAGCTTCACGTAGCATTTAAAAAAGGTTTCAATAAAATATTAACTTACTGTAGGTTTGAATTTCAGGACGTTCGTCAAGAAAATCTTTTTGATTGGGTATTTTTCCTTCAGAATTACCTTTAAACAAAATTCCAAGTTTATGGCCACAACACCAAGCATGAGATGTAAAAACGTCTGTTGAATTATTTTGAACAGAAATTTTGCCAGCAAAGAGACAATACGGATGATCCTGTAGATTGCGTCCAACCGGTAATTCTTTACAAACTTTGATATTATTTGCTTCCAAATTATTTTTTGGGCCGATTCCTGATAACATTAAAATCTTAAATACAGTATAATGGACTTGCTTAATTACCAGTCATTTCAAATTCATGATCAGAATCAATTGAATAACCTTTGATTCATACCTGAGCACTATTAATACCCCCACCGCAAAGAATCA